CGAAAATATACAGATTGTAATAATGTAGTAGGATACAAACAACCTTCCATAATACTTAAGGATAGAAAAAATTGGCATCTAAATAGTATTCGTTGACAACTAACAACTTAATTAACATTACTAAAATAAGCTCAGACGCTTTACTAGGTGGCGCTGTTGGCTTGTGTCTAGGAGACATTGACACTAAAGATACAAAATTGCATTTGACAACGCACACTAGAGAGCTATTAAAACTAATTAATCATTTAATTTGGACCTAAAAGCCGTTTAACGGCCTACTATTTTTGTTTTCACTAAATTATTTACATAAAACATCAGTCCTCCTCTCCTATCAAAATTAAATATGATGAAAATAATTCAAAACATTCGAAAGAAATAACTGTAAACAAAAATAACAATAGATTAAATAATGGAAGATATTAATATGTTAAAGAGGGAATATATATATATACATGTACGATTTACAGGAATATATCACGACATCAAAATTTACTACACGAATTTAGTTTCACGGCTTCTACTTCTAGTCAAAGTATGCGACATATCGAACAAGCGAAAATAAATTTTGAAAACTAATACAGTTATATAGGGAGTAATCCCTTTCTAAATGATAATTCTTGGAAGGGATATGTCACATTGTGCTGCGCAGAACCTTACAGCTTGCGGCGTTTGTCCTGGTGGTGCTCATTTCTTTTACGTTCACGGCTGGCTAACAGGCGGGCCTTTTCGGCCTCGCGACGCTTGGCCTTCTGCGCCATCTCTTTCTTCGCGATTCTTTCTTGCTCTCGGCGAGCAGCGGCTTCACGCATACGGTCAATAAAAGTTAAATAGTTGTACCGAGGCCGGATTTCTGGGGCTGGCGCAGGGACATTAGTGATAGGTCGATTTTCGTAGTATCTCCTGCAATTGGAGCATGTACAATAAATGGATGGAATATCGTTACGGGTCCAGTTTGAGGAAGTCTCGGTATGGTGAATAGCTGCACTGCTTTGAGACTGGTTCGGCTCTCTGGGCGACCGGTCTGGCGACGCCGGGGAGGTCTCAAAGACTTTACCGGGAGTCGTAGACATTCTGGAAAGTAAAGAAAGCAATATTAAAGTAATGCCATCTACAATAACGCACTGTCTCCTTAAGTTACGAGTGAGCCTGGAAATATAACATCCTATTTATGATCCCAGGCTTCTATTACAAATTTACTTAGACATTTTCATTGGTTTTATAAAATTAACCTAATAATTTACGTACGAATCAATGTATGATCGAATACATAATCTAAATTATTTTTTAAACATTAAGTCTAAGAATAACATTTCATCTAAACTTGATATAATACTCTTAAATAGTATTTAATATCCATGTCAACAATAAGGGCTGTCAAAATGGGATGCGGACCTCTGTATTCACAAACACAGCACGCGTTTGTAGGTTAGGAAACATAATGGAAAATATACCTCGTAATGTGAAAGTTCTATGATATAACAAATACGATACTGGAGTAGTTACCTGGAGTATTGAAGCTTGGCACGGGTGGAGAAAGCAAGTAAGAGCGCGATTTGGGAGACTGGCTACAGCGTTACGTATCGAAGCTGACAGCGTCGCGGGTCTGCAGTGCGGCGCCGTCCGCCACCCGAGTATTGATTTATGGCGGTTATCTATTGCGCAAGTGCACATTTTCTCTCTTTCTTCTGTAACCTATATTACTTAACGAGCTAAATACTAAGGTCCCGTAAAGAAATAACTTGTAAACAAAGAAACTTTATACTTATTTACTTTGTAGCTGCGATTAAAAAGCAATCTTCTGGGAATATCACAAACATGTTACTTTTCATACATCACATACCTTTATAATTATAGAAAATTCAATTGAAACAGCTTTAAAAAGTATGTCATGTCCTCGAAACATCAATTAAGACTAAGCCCCACTTTAAGAAAAGAATTTGTAAATAAACCTCTATAAATTTATTGATACATTCCAAGGCCTTTTTCCGATATCAAATTTTCCCGCCATACCGCCATGCTTTATTTTCGGACAAAGTCTATGACCTCGATCTGTGTTGCCAAGTTGTCTGTTTACTTATGACACAAGCATTGATTAATATTAATATTTCTCGAAAGAAGAGTAAAGCGCAAATATCTAATAAGTAGCTGCAAAATGTTATTAAAATTGTTATTGCTGTATAAAGTTTATTCAATGACTATTATTTCCAAACCCTTAAAAATGTACAACCCAGATTATATTGAGATCTTCGAAATAAAAAAAGATATGAAAATAGTAAAAACAAGATATCCCTCATATCAAACAAATTTTAGATCACTGTCTTTCCCTTTGAAGAGGACAAGCGTGATGGTAAATCCGTATCATTGATAACCTTTGATTGGCAGGCAATAATATTGAGTAAATAAATAAATACCTCGTTAAGGACGATTAATTTGATTGAATTTTAAAATCCTACGAAGTACTTATAATAAGCTTCTTATTGATGATAGGGATGTAGGCAATTATGTAGGGAATGAATCATGGATTTTTAAAAGTTTCCCCTTCGATCTGTATCTGTCTTCACTTTTTTTACGTAACAAAAACCAAACTGTTTGTGTTTTAAGGCGTGCGCTCCAGGGTAGCTAAATTTAAAATTTCGTAAGTGTTTTGCAATTTACACCTACTTACCTTGCCCTAAAAAGTCGAGCATGAGGGTAAACGATGTAACATGGTGTAAAATAATTCATTACTTATACAATTAGAAGTAAAATCCTCTGTTCGATATATTGTAAATTATTTATAGAATTTTTATAAACTTACAAAATACCTTTTGTTGAAGGATCTCGTACCTAACTGCTATGCTTGGGGTTATTTATAGTTTCAACTGTATGACCATGTAATTTAAAATATATTTATATACTTTTTCTGAAACGGTTTTTTTTATTTATTTTAATCCCAGCAATAATCCTTACAGACTAATCTAAATCGATATTGTTGTTTCTTATATTTAACTCGTCGAATGCCGTCATTATAGACACAATTAAAGAACAATAGGTTGCGGTCACCGGTGACAGCTTGGTGTTTGACAGTTTAAATTATAAACTAAAACAAATTAACAACTATTTTATTCAGCTTGCCCCGTTTGTTCTTTTGGGTCAAATTTAGTAAATGAAGGCGAAAGTTTGTAAGGATGTATGAATTTTCTTTATTTTTCACGACAAAACGGTCGAAATTTAGAAGTAAAGCATGGTCTGGAATAACACATAGGCTAATTTTTATCTCACGGGAACGCGGGCGAAGTCGCTGGCAGAAGCTAGTATAATTTTTTTCACAACTACCTTTATATGGATGTCAAACGAAAGGACTTGATTGTTCGAATGAAGCTCATTGAAACCGTTGTACATGTAAATAATGTTTTATGTATTTCCTACTTGTTAGAGAATTCGTGCCTGCTATAGTGACGACAGTCTCTTAGGTAGTATTGGCAAATAGTTTGTCTATTTTAATTTATATCAACATTTATACATGCACAATTTTATCTTGCCTATCTATACATACTTATGTGCAGTAAGTTACAATTTTATTATATACAGTTAGCGTGATGATGCTCGATTTATTTTCTGTCACAGAGCTTATCTCTGTACAAAGATTGAGTTGGTAAATTAATAAATCACATAACTTTAGAAGAATAAGATCAATTTGTATAATAATTATATTGAAAAGTTAGATCAATAGCTATAAATTATAATTATTTTCATAATTGTTTACTCAATGATATCAAAACATTGTTCAAGATATCTTTGAATGGCAAATAAAAGATTAACCGAATAGTAAAAATAACAAAAGGGATTTTACTATTCATAGACCATACAGCTAACTCCTATTCTTTACTAAAATCGTCATACAAACATACCTCTTCATACCTTTGAAATCTGTCTCTTTGTCAAAACATACTCACATCTTTTTCCCCAAACAATTCCAAGTTTCAAAGGATAAGAAACGCCGTGAAGTTTCGTAATCCCAGATATAAAAATAATTGGCCATGCCAACATCAAAGTTGTCAATAACTTGTTTCCAGATCCTTGGGCATATGATTTAGGTTAAAAGGTATCAAAACATGACAAAAATATCAATGTTTTCAACTGATATTTGTGTGATCACAAATGGTGCTCGATTTTCATTTTTTTCACAGTTCGGGCAATTTATTATAGAATATAATAGTTGACAATAGACTAGCTAGCTATACTATAGTCAAATTAGGTAAAAGAATAAAAGTAATTTCTGGTCTTGTAATTTTTTGTGCGATCATTAGAAAAGCTGACTATGTGTTCTCTTAGTTAGCACCGTTCCTGTAATTTACTGACATTAAAGTTCCACTATTTTGAAATTTTATTAATAACTCGGGTACGTATAGAAATATTATTATAGACACCCCTTTGTTGTACTTATCACATAAATGTTTGGTGTGAATTCTTATTAAATTAAAAATTAAACATTTTCTGCGCACGAGACACAGTGTTTCTGAAAGAAAAGCTAAATATACAGAAGCTTAAAAACAATTTAATTCGGTGTGAAATAGATAACTAATATTTTATCAATTTTCTATTGAAAGTTATGACTTAGTTTCTTCGAATTAAGGAATATATTAACTGCTAGCGTTTACATTGACAATACTACCCATGTTTATAAAATTGATGACACAAAACCAACACGGTATAGCCAGTAAGCATGCGACACAAAAAACATACGTAACAGCAAGTCAATATATTCATTACACCCGTGCAAATGATAGTATTATCACCCTAAACTGCTAACTATTTCTCTACACCACCATCACTATTACAATGTCACAGAATTAGCAAACCAAATTACTCCAAACTCAAGGAGCCATTTATGGTTGAAGAGTTCTATTCTCTACACTCTCTTTGACCTCTTTTAGAAGAGAGAAATTAAGAAAATGTACACCACCAACGTCGACGTAATTATAATGTGTGTGTGTCGTGTCGTATATAGTATAATCTTTTTCATTTTACGTCATTTATATATCATATTTATCTTTCATTTACCTAATCATTTTGATTAGGTAAATGAAAAGCTGTAGGTGATTATTATTTAGTAGATAACGCTTAACATAATATAAAATGTTTTAAATTAAACTCGTGTGATATTTATTCATTTAATTTTATTCCGAAACTACAATTTTGTGTGAACGGCTTAAGATAGTCGTTACAATAAATCCAACAAACATCAATATCGGAAAATCTTAAAATACAAATACAATACTTTGAGAAAAATAGAATATCAAAAATGCCGACTGATTCCACAGGATAATGTAAAATGTGTAGTTCAGTATATAAAATGCAAAGATCCAAATTTGATAAGGAGACATTTATATGTATTGGTAAATTGTATTTTTAGCAAATATTTAATAGGAATGTATAGGCAGTATTAATGGCTTACGTCCTCCATGGAAACTGTATCAAACCTCAGTTTTATGAATATGATGTACCTAATGTAATGTCACATAATCAAACAGCAGATTTGTCCAACATTTTTAAGAAAATATTCTCAGAAAATCCTTTTTCATTATCATCACATTTCTGAATATTATTATGACTAGACGAGTTTTTGAATTTATGTTCAAGATGAAAGGTAAAGTCTATAAAAAGATGATGACTGGAAGAACATTCAGACATTTACTATTGAGAAATATCATTAAACACTTATTATTATTATTATTGGAAAGAGTCATTGAACGTTGAACTACATTTATCCATATTATTAATGGGATAAACCAAGGGGCTCCAAGCAACTCCAGGATGGCGTATAATAATACTTATGATAAGACATTCATGGAATGTCCCTATTAACACCTAGGAACGACGTTCGTCTAAATTACCATAATATCTTTTAACCTTAAGCTAAACTAAACAATTCACATTTAATACCAAATAAGCACTTAGAATGATTATATTTTTAAATAACACTTACTACGCAAATCATTATAATTAATTTTAAGCTCAACCAGGACGTCACTTACTCCTACAAATAAATATTTAATTCATATAGGATAGGTGCAGGCTGTTCAGTCGCCAGTGCTCTTTATTTGCAAGGTTAGTGACGGTATTACAATTTGTTCACCAATTTGAACACCTACTGGCTAAGGGTAGTGTATCATACACTTAATCCAAGAGAGAGTTATTACCTCATAATTATCTTAGTACGTAGGTATCATAAAAATACGTAGACGTTGGTGTAATGTTAACTTGAGCCTACTTACACATTCTCAAAAAATAGGAAAGATCGATCAAGTGGTCTTTACTGCTCAATCTTTCATAAAGGTTGCATTTGTATCTAACAGAAGAAAATTCACTAAAAGTTACACTTACACATTTAAGATAACAGATTAAAATCAACGTTTGTAAAGATGAGCAAAATTATTTCGATTAGCTTCGAAATCACCCTGTAGATTAAAAATATAAACCTAACTAACACACATAGCCGGGAAATGCTTACTTAATATTAAATTATTAAATAGTACAATTTCAGAGCGACTCCATTCCAGGCGAAAGCAATGTTTAAACGGGGATATTTCAACACTAAATATAATTACATCACTCAAATCAATCAATCATTATATGAATAGGAATGGCGAATTTAACTTTATTTTTTAAAAGGATGTCTAATCCTCTAAACTAATTGTGTAAAAGGGTGATTCTTTAAGTGCAAAAATAATCTTTTAGGAACCTTTTAAAGAATAAATTTATAAGAATGTGAGCTCGAATAAAAATTTGGAAAAGAACACTCGGATTACTTAGTTTTTATTATTTCTTATGTACAACCACCAACCAAGCACTCGTCTAATTCGAGGGTCTCATAACGCTGAGCTTTAGAGCCTAAATATGACAACCACAGCTCATACTGACTGCTGTATCGCCATCCTTATTCTTATTCTCACAACATTAGTACCGCAAAACATACATTAAATATTAATCGCTCTGGCGTCTATTTTAAATAATACAAACTACTGCGATCGTATACCTGAGTAATACAATCTCGCCAAGGCTTTATGGTGATGCCGTAATTAATAATAATAATTAAAAATACGTACATTAACACATTATATGACAATTGGAAGTAAATTATAGAGATTATTACTTTTCTATGTCCATCCAAGCGTTGCCGGGCGTAGGATAAGAAGCTCCTGAAGTTTACAGGCTTACAGACGGGTCTGCGTGCTACCCAGAGGCCCTGGGGGTGGTGGTGGTGGCATGCAAGCTGCATCCTCAGAGCTCGGCCCCGGCAAGTCCAGTCTGCTGCTACTGCTCCCAGCTACGTGAGTCTTCTCTTTATCGCTGAGATGTGTCATCTGGATCCCCTTATTAGCATCTGAAAACAGTGAAATTGATAATTGGTAGTGGTTCATGAACTAGTCTTCATTGGTTGATTTAGATTCGTGTGATATTCATACGTTTACGAGATCATTTTATGTGTTTCTTCTATCACTAACTGTTAGACGGAAACTGTTTTCTCAAAAAGGACTTTTTTATTTCTTTATTTTATTTATTAGATAGTACAATATTATCTAAATGTACTCCATACCAACAGTACGTAATATTTCCATATTCAATTATTCCAATAACACACAAAGAAACCTTTGTCTAAAATGCTACGCCGTAGCTCGTAGCCGTAGCTACGGCGTAGTACGAGTTCGTCTTGTACGACGACTACCAACCATATCACTAGACGATATCGAACCATTCCCACTTTAATTTGATCTTATAACTTCGTACTCACCTGAGTCTCGGACTTTGGTGGTCATCCCGAAGCTACAGTCCTGTCTAAGGGAACGCGCGTTGGGGTCTCCTTGCGTCTTCAACAGCTGGCTCTCCGTAATCTTCTTAATGATATTACTGAGTTTCTGCTTCCTATTGTTAAAACTTTCGTCGCTGTTCATTATCTGTAAATAGAAAAGCCCAATATAAGTAAGAAGATGGCACACTTCGATGATCGATCGGATAAAATGGCGTCGTAAATATGTCTGCTCAAGGTCTCTGATAAATCGGTCGAGTGAGTTGTGTAACAAGTTGGAGTGTCTAATAACGCAATACAAAGCTCGACTTACCACTAATCTTTCACTTGATCGCACACTCAACAGGTTCACTCGCGTGACGATAAGAACTTCTTTGCAAGAATGCTTCGTGCAAAGGGTTCTCGACGGCACACTTTATTTCCCAGGGACGTAAAACTATTTATTGATTGATGAACCGCGCAAGTGCAGTTACGTCGGCGGTTGAAGTACGTGGAACTTATGCGCTGTTTCACTCCCCCAATACGTAGAACTTTGTACGATAATTAAGTTTACAAGATGTCTGTATTGTTTGCTATTTTAGAACTTCTAACTAGTTTATGTAAGCTCGGACAATTTGGTTTCCAGTTGGGTTTAGTTGAACTTTGAAACGAACACCTCACGTTGAAAGATTTCTGAATTCTAAAAATTGCTTTTTATTTAATGGCAGGGTCAAATTTAAGGTACATACTTATAATTATTCTGTTTTTAAATAATCGTTGTCCCACTTTAGAATTTCTTTCTCCTGTGTCGTGGGTGAGTTTACCTACAAACATACGAGTTCACATACACAATGACACCCAGACCCGAAACAACAAATTGTGGATCGCACAAAGTGTTGTTCCGTGCGGAGATCAAACCCGAGACACGTTGCACGGCAGCCAGTTGCCTAGCCACCGCACCAACCGTGCAGTCAAATAGCTCGCCTAGTTTTAGTTCTCTACCAGTTAATAGGAAAATCAAAAATAATGTACCAGACAATACAAAATTTCTAGTTTGAGTAAAAAAGTGTTAACAGAATCCAAATATCATTTAATTAGTTCTATATGTCTATTATAATGTTTTGTAATGATGGCGCAGGGTGTTCTTTTTTATATTAGATGGGACTGACGTTTGACCACTATCTCGCCTGGTGGTAAGCGATTATGTGGCCTACGATCGAGCACGTCTACCCATAAGCAACCTATTGACTCGGGGCTTGAAGACACCCTTCAGGAAATACAGACTCTGGCAAAGAAATTATTTTGGTATCTAGACTATCCTAGGTAATATATTACTGATATTTATTTATGACATGGCATGTAAGGCGAACTTAATGTGCCATATGGCATTCTCTACCTGTCAACTTTAGGGTTTAAATAAAAAATCTGCGAAAAATAAGGTACGGAGAATAAACGAAAAACTATGGTAAAGAGAAAAATATAGGGGTAACGTTCACAAGAGCAGTAGTGCTCCGATGTGCTATTTCTGCCACTCTCTCTTCTATATAAAATTGTATATATCTCTTTCTGCGTACGTGTTGTATGCGACATCTAATTAAGTTGCAGTTTTCACTATTTAAATCGGCGGGCACTGAGTCTCCGAAAGCTTCGATTTTATACACGGTCGAGCTCTTGATATACTTGCTACTATACGAGCAAGCTACTTTGTAATGATATGTACTCACTGCAAACAAAATCAGTTCTTCTTCCGTCTCGGGAAGTCCGTCAATTTTGGGTTGTTTGCTTCCAACCACACAAATGCCGTTCTAAATCGCTTGAAATTGTGCTTAAGCACGTAGTCTGTTGAAGAAAGATTTGGCGTGTACATTTTAATGTTTACTGTTTCAATAATCTGTTCTGTGTCTGTTGTCTTCATACGGCTCGTGAAAACAATTTATAATCGCTGCGGCTATTTTGCAGTCCATCAAGTAGGACTAAAACCATGTAACGGATTATTTTGAAGCCCCTCTTAAACCTTCCAATGATTATTTCTACGACCCATCTACATACATAACGTTACCAATCTTGATTTATTGGCTTCTTCGCAGGTTAACTGAGAGATGGACTCCATAGCAGTAAGGTTCAAGAGTACGAACGGCATCGCGAAATCCTCTGTCGCCTATAAATACAGCGTCCTGTTCAAGGAAATAATTAATGATAGCATCAAACTTTCGTCTGTAATATAATTATTTACTTACTTCTTAAAATAATATTTATGTGAACTCTTAAGACACATTAATATTCATATGACAATTGAACTATAAATATCCTCGCAACATAATCAAAATTATCTGTACAATATCTATAACATAAATGATAATTTGGATTATTTAACATCACGCTACTTACACTTTACTGTATATGGAAAACGATGTGTTTATAAGTTAAGACAAATGCTAATAAAGGTTTAACAGTAAGTGTATGTATAACATGTTGGTATGTATAACATTTTTATCATTTATGTTTTTGTGCCCTAAAGTGTAGGCACTAATATTGGGAAAGAATTTTGGTATGAAATGTGGTGTGTCCAAGTTTTTGACCGCTTTTCTAAGGTGCCGGGTCCACCACGCACTACCGTAGAGTCACTCACCCGCAGTCAGCTATATTTATTAACGTTATAAAATATATCATACGACATACGATTTAAAGTTCATATTTAAATGACAACTTAATTGGAGGCGTGCTTATTGGATGTGCGATGACCTTTACAATCAAATATTAAAGTTAAAAGCACATACATATTTTACATCTAAGTCCAGAAATGGAAGCTTAAACGAACTATAATTAAATTTTTATTTTTACGTGTATTTATAAAAGCGTGTAGGTAACTGTACAAACTATATAATTTATTTACATCTTAAAGTGAACCTAAAAACGAACACAATTACATTAACAAATCTATACACACACACCTACATATGTACATTTGTATACATATTTACATTTTCTACGAAATACATAATACTCCCTTACCAGTTGGTCGATAAAAATTCCATCGATTGTAAAACTATCGACTGAACCCTCATCACTAATTACTAATATAGTTATAACTATCGATAGCTACCGATGATCGTTTACCGATGCGTGTGCGCATACCTGTCAAACCAGTCTTGCCGAGATTTTGCTACGACGCGCATAGATAATTCTTTCACTTGCTTAAAGCTGCAAAAACTATGCTAATTCTATCGCAAATATCTTATATCTATTCCTTATTACTTCTAATGCTGACTGTCTTCTCGTTATCTCTGTGTTGTGCATATTTATGTGCATGTGACTTTCTTATTGTGCCTTCTGTAACTACACGTGTGTCGGATCCATCGAATAAACTTGAACTTTTATTTACACTACGAAATACCGGACACCATCAGACTACTCATCTAACAACCAAAAGCGTGTTATTAAAATATTAATTTGTTTTCTACTTTTTGTCTCTTATTTTTACATTGAATATATACATACTAGTTACAAGTAGGCGAATGGGTCCGCATTCTCTCTATCTTGGTCAGAACGTGGGTATTGCATGTTCATTATTGTATTTTTTCTGTCAGCTTAGACCACTTAGTGTTTTTACTCTACTAAATGCCACACACGACTGTCCAGCCGCAAAGATTCGAGGTCCCAAGTACACCACTGCTTTCCAGTTTTAGTCTGGATCCTTCTTGCACGGTTTTCCAATCTGAACGCTTTGAACAGAGCGGCTAAAATGGTTCTAGACAATAAAACGACTTTTTTTTTAAGGGGGGAAAATCATCGATTAACTGCTCCCGCCTGGGTGAGACGGGAGGGAGTGTCAGACTCTTACTGACTAAAAACCACCCCGTTCCTTCTCCTGCACGTCGAGTCGGAGCCCCGGTTACCCGTTAGGTTCTCCGCGACACAATAAAACGACTACAGTAAACATATTGAGTGACACTAGGTCCTCCCTCTTTTGTGATGTCTTGAAGAATCCCAGGATTACCCACTGTTTGGCCAAGGAGATAAAGCAGTGTTTGGAGACCGTAACGGAACAGGGAAGAGAGATTCGATTTTACTGGCTGAGGGCCCATGTTGGAACCGCCGGAAATGAGAGGGCAGACGAATTAGCTACAACCGCTGCGAAAAAGAAAAATAACACCACGGCAGACAACAGTCATGTCCTATGTCAAAAAAAGGAAAATTAGACGAAACTATCCGTAAGTGGCAGGACAGGTATACCACCTCAACTACTGGGCAGGTAACTAAAACGTTTCTCCCAGATGTCCATGAGGCATATCGTTTAGTGAGGTCGAAAAAGTTGACACCTGCCCAAGTTGCCCTGCGCTGACTGGACATGGAGGAATTGCTAAGTACCTGCATCGATTTAAACTAAAAGAAAGTGCAGGTTGCGAATGCGATTCAACTATCAGTGAGTCTGTCTGGCACATTATTCAGGATACAGGATTTGTGTATCTGGACGAGAGGGAATCCGATCGATGCGTAGTGTTAAAGTTTAAAACTCCTCCTGGGGATTCCCTAGTAGTGGTTGCCAAATGCACCAGAATTATGCTGGACGATGGAATATTAGATGTGGCAAGATCCATTTCTGAATCTGGTAGGTGGTAGAGACCAATGGTAGATGAGGCTCTCATGAACCACTTTAGAGCCGTTGTGATGGCCGCCCGAATAACTCAAGCCAAGGCAGTCCTTCTAATTGGTGACTTGAATCAGCTTCCGTTTATAGATCGTGATAACCTCTTCCCTCTGCTCTACAGCCGCCCTTCATATATCACACCCATAAGCCAGGAATTGATATGTACCCACAGAAATCCAATGGATGTGGCGTATGCCCTCAGCACAGTTTACAGTGGCATATACTCGTCCAGGTCGTTCGTGAGATCTCTCGAGATAAAACGGTTCTCGGGAGCGATGATTCCAAAGTCACTCCCCGAAACTTTATACCTGGTACACACTCAGGCACAGAAGGAATCCCTTAAGAACCAGGGTTACGGGTTTACCGTAGGATCACGCGTGCTCACAATACACGAGGCACAGGGACTTTCGTGTGCGAATGTGGTTGTTGTGAACACAGCAACGAAGAAACATCAAATACATGATAGCGTACCACACGCGGTAGTAGCAACATCGCGTCACACGCATGGTTGCATCTATTACACAGACAACAGTGAAGACGCATTAAGCAAACTAATCAGAAGGGCGGCTGATGAGAGCGAGCAAGGGATTAAAGACTACAACCTGAAAATGGCTATCAAACAGAGGGACGTGGCAGTTGTGGGTGCTCTCTTGGGCGAGGAATGTTGCTTGTGATAAAACGAATGCAACATGAGGAAATGTGCATGCAGAAACATGTAGAAATAGAAAATAACCTATTGACTTTTGGACTATTGTAAGCTTTATTGGAATCGGCCAACGTGGCAAGGGTTGAGGCGTCATGCATACATAAATGTCCTACAGTCGGTGGCGCTGTGTGTTGGGTTGATCCGTTCCCAATAA